TTTTTTTTTTTTTTAAACCCGTCTATGACAGTTAGGGGGGATGGTAAGAGCATACCCTCCTATCTATCCTTCCGGGGGCTCCATTCTACTGGTGGGGAGTTGCACCTGCTGGAAAACGGGTCCTGCGTCCCTTACATCTGTCTCGATCAATCAATATTGCTTCCTCAACTTTTCCACCTAAGGATGCCTCTTCAGTCAAAGTTTTGACCGCCAAATAAAAGTGATCTATCTAGCATCCTTTGAATGAAATCTCCACTATTTATTCTCTCTCCTTAACGTTCTTCCCTTCCCCCAAACCATTCCATATCTACCAAAGCAAGCTCAGACTGAGGAAAGGGGTCTGGAAAATAAGCTGGTGATCTCAAAGAAACTCCCGGTTGGATGTCCAACCAGTTAAAAAAATTGATCCGATAGTCCCTCCTGAACAATACCTGGTCCTCATCCTCCCCTGGTCAAATTACCTCTCCTAATTTCTCCCTTGACGCATCCCCTAGCCATTCCAATCCGAATTCAAAAATACTTTGCATAATGTTTTGTTTTTGTTTTAATTGTAAAAGTTTGTTTTTCCACCTTTCCCATTGATCTCTGATTTCTGTCTGAATAAATTGTTGGATTACATCTGTCGTTTCTTTTCCTTCCATCCTTACTTTCTCAATTGTTAATACACATCTTTTATGCCATAAAGCCCATAAAACTGCTTTTCTGCCTAATTGAAATAAATTTTGCTGAAATAGTGATAATTCAATTAATACCGGATTCCAGTATCCCAACAAAATTGCTTTCCAATCCCATGGCCATTCTAGCCCCGTAATCCTATTCCATACATAGTCCCACCGTCGCCATGTCAGAACAGAGCTCGGACATTGTAAGAAGATATGTTCTATTGTTTCTCTTAATTTCCTTATAGGAAAAACCTGGATACAAGAGATACACCAAGGTAATGCTACACATTTTTGTTCCAATGAAGAATGATCTATTAACCAATAATTTGTTGGTAAACACTTATGTATTATCTGCCATTGTAAGGATGCAAACTTGGCAGACCTTTCCTTTAAATTTTGAAACCATCTTATTTGCTTAATCAACTCCGCATCTATGTTAAAATGTATGCACCACCGTTCTCTTATAATATCAGGCACTTCTATTTTAAGACGCAGTAATCGATAAGATGCTTTAACTGACAAAGACTGTAATCTTAGGCGTTTACTCTTCTTGTTCATCCGCCAGACCCATTCGTCCGGATCTAGTGGTAGATCCGGAATAGGAATGTGTGGGAAAAACATTGTCCATTCTTTCGTTGAGGTAYAGTATAAGRCTCTTATTCTGTACATTTCATGAAAARRGAAAAATGATACTTTATCCTGATCCTTATTCGGGATCGTATTATCTTTGCRGATCTTAAATACATTCACTAATGCTCCCTCTTTGTGAACCTCCAAGATTTGACCCACTGTCTTGATCCCATCCTGCATATTCATACACACCCAATCTGCCGTCCTAAAAACCGGTCCTTTTTTTAATGTCATTCTCCATGCCAAAGGAATGACAGATACTAAATTCTCCAGATTTTCCCGTAATTTGTGTGCATATTTAATCTAATTTTTTAGTTTATCTACTGTCTTTCATTTTCGGGTTTCTTGGTCCCATAAATCTTTGATTCTTAAAATACCATGTTTTACCCACGTAACCCATGGAGATTCTGAGCTGATAAAGACTCTACCCTGTTGATCAGTGAGCCATCTATTTCCAAACAGTGGTTGCCTCAACACTTCCTCATATCTTGATGGAGAAGTTTTATTTGGCAATGGTAATTCCCGCCAAGTTTTCAATAGGCTTGCCCAGAAGTTGTCCAATACTAGATCCTTTCTGACCGCTCCTCTTGCTCCATCTCCTTTGTGGTTTAAATGGGGTCGAGGAATAGTCTAGAATCTATCTTCCATCCATACCAGTGGGTGTACTTCCTTGATTGTTCTAGGTGCCAATCTACGTATTTGTTCTAAAGCCAGGTCCCTCCATGGAATATCCACAGTCAAAATTAACCTTTTCATTACCTGAAGGGACAATGCTTCACCTTGAATTTTAGGGTCGATAATACCCAATCCTCCTTTATTTTTTGGTTGAATTAATGTTGTCCTAGCCACTCTTGGAATCACATGTGATGTTTCATGATCTCCCCTCCATAGGAAGGCTATTAGCTGCCTTTGTAGTTCTTTGGCTGGTTTCTTGTTCCAAAGAAAGGATTTGTAGTAAATCGAGGCTAAAACCACATTATATCAAAAATTGATGTATATTTATTTTTCCATAGTTTCATTTTTTCTATCGCAGGGGAAGAAATCCATATATCATTTGTGACCGGTTTACCTTGTGCTGTGAGAATTACTCCTAGAACCCTGATAGGGGCCTCCTCAGGGACCCACTTGATCCTAAGAGAGAGACCAATGTATTAGTCTATTATTAGATTAGTTAAAAAAAAAAGGTACCAGTGCATCTTCCCCCAGAAAATGGCAAGATGCATGGGTTACTATGAATAGCAAAGGATGCATCTTTTTTTTTTAGAGCAAGGCTTGTATCAGCCCCGCATCACTATGACGCCGGGTGACGAGGCATTGCAGACGGGGGAAATCGGCACGACAATGCTAGTGCATCTTTGGCCAGTCACTGACACCTTCCCCTTCCCCCCTCCAACCTCACATTAGCTGTGTCTAATGGCCAACATCATTGCTGCATAGCAACCAACAGCATCAGCCAAGGTCCTGCCAATGCTGGCTTGGGGGACCAAAGGGTTATCTCTAGGCACGAAGCTGGTAGAACACGAAGCTTGCCCAGGCACGTACGTGAGGCAGGTGGGGATTGAACCCACCACGTCGTGAAGTAGATGCATTCGTTCTTTTTTTCGTTTCGACAGTGGTGTGGCTAGGCCCTGTATCCGACTGCAAAGACGGCCCCGGCTGGTGTACCTGACCGCAATTATGGCCCAAGCTACGTGGATGCATCTGACTGCAAGTTTATGGCCCGAGCTGGATGCATCTGACTGCATTTAGGGCCCATGCCAGATGCATCTGACTGCATTTACGGCCCAAGCCAGATGCATCTGACTGCAACTACGGCCCAAGTTGGATGCATCTGACTGCATTTACGGCCAAATTGGATGCATCTGACTGCAACTACGGCCCAAGTTGGATGCATGCAATCTAGTCGAGAGCTCACTTGAAAAGGTCCTCGTGTGAGGATGGCCTCGTTGTAGTCGACGGCCACCTCCAGAGTCAGGCCCTGAATGTATCTGGCTGCAATTACGACCAAGGTGATGCATCTGACCGCAATGACGGCCCCAGCCGGATGCATCTGCCTGCAATTACGGACCGAGCTGGATGCAGGCAATCATGTCCAGAGGATGAGACAGAATCTGATGCGTACTACCAAGAAAGATGAATAGATGAGAGAAGAATATAGCTTACCTTTAAAATGAAAATATATATATATATACGATATATATATTTGTGACGATATATACTATATATTTTTAATAAAAACTAATCTATATTCTTCTCTCAATCTTGTTTGTATATAATAAAAACTAATCTATATTCCTCTCTCAATCTTGTTTGTATATATTTTCCTCATCTATCTCGTCCTCTCGAAACGTTGTCGGATGAGTGCATGCCCTCATCATGCCGGCACTCACGTCCCGATTCAGGCGTTAAATCCAATTCTCCTTGCTAGGTAGTCGGACCTGGTCCCCGCTGTCGAAAGCCACGTCGGCAGTTTTTGTAAAGCAATCCGGCGAAGTGAGTCACGATTCATTTCATTTCATTTCATCTGTTCAGCATTCGAAACACCGCACGCAACCTTTCAGTCCATCGCTTGCACGCGAGATATCGTCACATCGGCGGATTCGCCCCGCTCACTCTCTCTGTCTCTCTCT